GGTGCTGGGGGATTGAACCGCGGTCCCTGTGCTTTGCTTAGCTTAGTTTGTTCTAAGTAGGTGCTTTAGACCACTGAGCCATCTCACCAGCCCCTCTTGCAGTCATTTCTGCTCTCCACTGGGGCCTGGGTTGTGTAGGATCCCTGAAAGAGAGTGACTCTTCTTATACCCCCTTCTGGAAGCGTGGTTGGAGTTCTCTTTCAGGGAATCATAAAGTCATGTGTGTTTCTGGCAGCATTTTTTCACCCTCACACTATTATCTACACTGGCTTTTGATGGAGGGGTCCCCCTAGAGGGTATGAGGAACTTACTCAGCCCCTAAGCCAGCTGTGGGCAGCAGTTAGAGCTGTGCCCTTGCCCTCCCTCTGGGCTGATGTGGCTGGCCATCTTTCACGCAGAGTTACGTAAGCTTGAGTCAATTGGGACTCAGAGCAGTTCATTGTGGGCTATTTTTAAGCTGCAACACATCACAGCAGAGGGGTCACTGCACCGCCAGCTTGCAGAGAAGGTTGTTTAAACATCTGTTATTTAAATTTCCCTGTGTCTTAGAGCTCAGAAGCCCTATCCTCCCAGCACTAGTAGGTTTTGTCTTCCATATCCCAGATTAGGAATGGATTATCTCCCCTCACCCACCCCTAGGCTCCCTTAGTGCTCTGTCCCTGCCTGTCTTCCTTTGAGGTCAGCATGGTTCTGCTTCCATGGAATGGAGTGTCCTGGCTGGGAGAAACTTCCAGGAAGCAGGAGGTCTAGGACTCACAGGTCACTTGGGGAGTGCCAAAAATGGAGGTTAAGAAAGAGGATCACACAGTGCCAGTGAGGAACTGTGAGACTCGAGACTGAGAATATAACTTGTCCTCCTTCTGGCCTCAGTTTCCAATCAGCACTGAGAAAGAGCTGGATCACAAGATCCTTTGGCTCCTTTTAGAAGCCTACCTTTTTCTGGACTGTGCTAGCTGGAAAGTCCTCCCTCCCCAGACTCAGAAGCTACCCATCTGCAGCCTCAGGAGCAGAAAGGTTGGTGTATATGCTCCTGGACAGTAGACAGGGATGAATCTTTGGGGGAAATGAACCTCATTTTCCACATCTTTTATAAAGTAGATGGTTACGCCGGGAGCCATTGAAGGCTCTTTCTGACCCTAGGTTTCTGGAGATAGCCAGAGCCTTCTTAGGGCACCAAGGGTAGAAAGCATGAAGAGCACAAACCCAGGGAACTGACAGACCCGCCTACCTCCTGAGGACTGTGTTGGAGAAGTAGGCCTGTAGACCTGGTCCACTATAGAGCTCCCAGTAATGTAACCTTTTGTGCCTCTCTCCTTGATGACCTACCTTCTTGCCACCTCTGTATCATCCTAAAGACCTCCTAGGTGATGAGTTTCACCTGATACACAGGGCAGAAGAGTTCACAGGGTGACTTGACTCTCCCCAGAGCTTGGCACCTTTTCCCAAGCCTGTCTGGGGGGGTGAGGTGAAGGTGAGGGAGACAGTAATTCCAGGACTTGTCTTTACAGGGTTGAATCTGTCTGAGTTCCTTCCAGCTCCTCCCTGCACCCCACAGTCCTCAGCCTGGGGAATGGGCTCAGCCTGGGGGAGGGGCTCTCTAAGTTGCCATGGCAACACGTTGGCCCTCCTCACTTCCCAGAATCAGAAATAGAATTGGACACCCTTCTTCCTGGTGAGAGACTATTTAAAAACAAGTGGGGGAAGGGCACAGGGGCACTATCCCTAAGGGCTGGGCAGGAGGGGTCCAGATTGGTAGCCGATGTACCTGCCCTGCTGTCCTTCCCTTAAACTGAATGAAAATGGGAATAAGCTTTGACCAGTCAAGAATTCAAAACACAAGGACTCAGCCTGGCGTGGCATCATGTGTACCTGGTCCATGCTCCACACCACCAGGTTCCTGGGAGGGCACTGGATTAGTGTTGCCAGCAGGGAAAATACCCCTTCCTCAACTGAGCTACCTGCTAAGCTACCCAGAGGAAGAACAGGTCCATGAGTGTGGGGCTTAGGGCTGCAGCGCTAGAAGGGAGGTATGTTGGGTCCTTTTTGTCCGTGTATGGCTTTGGCATGGCATTCAGTCCTGGCACCACAGCTTCCTGAGGTTGCCACAGGTCTAGGCCCTGAGGGCTTGCTTAGCTTTGGACATTGGTTCTATTGTACACTAGCTAAGAAAAGACTCTCCTCCCTTTCTGAGCCTTGATTTTCCTAATCTGTAATAAAGGTACAATAGTACCCAGTTTATAGAACTGCTGTGGGGCTTGGTTGCCTGGCACAGAGGAAGGACTTGATTAATATCAGTCTGGTTTTTTTTTGTTGTTGTTGTTGTTTTGTTTGTTTGTTTTAAAATTTTTGAGACAGAACTCTATGCAGTTCAGGCTAGCCTTGAACCACTATGAAGCCCAGTCTGGCCTTGAATTCACAGTGATCCTTCTGCATCAGTCTCCTGAGTGAGAGGATTACAGGAGTCTGCCACCATACCTGGACACATCATTGTTATTACTGCTCTCAGCTCTTTTGCTTCCCAGGTGGAAAAGCCCTTCTCTCTCCTGGCTGCCTCCTCAGACCAGACTATTTATTTAGGGAAGGATCTACAAGGTGTTCACGGCCTCACTACTAGATAGGACTCATATTGATTCTCCTGTTTACAGTCTCCCAAGAGCTGGGATTACAGTCATACGCCACCACCGTCCAGCCTGTGGCTAGACTCAGCTGGCCCTTCTCTCTTTCCTCAGGAGATCCCAAGCCTGTTGCTTACAAAGGACCCCAGCCCTGGAGAGGAGGACTATGCCTAATTCTTCAGGAGTTACAGAATGTGTCCATTATCATATAGGAAGGGGATTCTCTAGGCAGCCCTCTAGCCTTCTGTGTTTTTGCCAGGGACAGCCCAGCTGCAGTGCTGCAGAGGCACTAGAGGTTGCTACTAGATCAGTGCCATGAAAAAACAACTAGCTTGCTCACACCAGAATGTAATACATGTTCTGAAAATATGTGTGTACACACATGGATGTATACACATACACAGCACACAGCCTCCTGTGCTCTACCACATTTCCTGGGTCATAGCATGAGAGAAAACTGGCTCCTTGGTGTCTGAGCTGTCTGTCCTGGTTCTTAACTAAAGGCTGCATTTGAAGATGGGGAAAGGGCCCAGGAGGCCTGAGATGTGGCTGAATCAGGCTTTGCCCAGCGCCAAGTCAGAAAGGTGCAGATACAGCGTGGTGCTAGCCTTGGTCCCTGATCACACTGCCTTGTACCCCATGGCTAACTGCAAGCACTATTTTTAACCTTTGTGAAAATACATTGCTTCAGAAGGCAAGCCTATCGCTACATTGTCCACAAACCTGTTTCCTGGGTGGAAATATTGAGGCCTAAAGGGACACAGCCCTGAAGGGGAGGGGGAAAAAGAAGGAGGTGATTCTGGTTTTGGGGGCTTTTTTTTTTTTGGCGGAACCGGGGATTGAACTCAGATCCTTGCATTTGCCAGTCAAGCACTTATCCTACTGAGCCATCTCCCTGGCCCCAAGGAGGTGATTCTGCCCCAAGTCAGAACCTCAAAACCCAAGCTCATGACAGGGATATCTCTCTACAGTCTAGGCCTGTCCTCTGTGGCTGCGGGGCAGCCTTGGGGCTGTGGGGGAACTTCAGGTAGGATCCAACTCCTCCTTTCCCTTCTTTGTCCCCATCTAAAAAACAGGAAGAAACTGTCGCCTAGTCTGATAGCTTACATTCTTACCCATCAAATCATGTCTGGCCCTTGTCCAGTTTTCCTTACTGTAAACCCAGTTCTGTGCCCGTGTATTCAGCCTTGCACCTGCACTATACCCACTATGTTTCTTCTGTGCCCTATTTTGTAATTGCCATTTAGCTGGCCCCTTGGCCATTATGTCCCAGACTTGGGCCCAGTGCTTTGCCCCTGTTATGGCAGAGGTTAAGCTGACACAATGTGATAAGAGGTAGAACGTTCTGACTTGAAGATTCTGAGCAGAAGCTCCGCCCCCACCCCTGCCGCCCCCATCCCCACTCCTCCGGGATATTGGTCCACGGCTTTAGGGACATGTGGCTCTGGGGAGGGGGCTCTGTGAGGCACAGGCAGAGGAGAACCATCTGGAGCAGCAGAGATTGCCAAGGAGCCTCTGTCCCTAGAGCTGGAACTGGGAAAAACAGTGGAGAAGAGCCTGGGCATGCTTGGCCCCTCATCCTCTTCTGTCTCCTAGGACTAAGTGGTGAAGGGCCCTCACTCCCCAAAGGGCCTATATCTAGGGGCTTCCTCAGAACCTCCCCTGCCTTCCCACTCCCTTGACCTTACCCCAGCCTGTTCTGAAGTGTTGTCCTCACGCTGAGGTTGGCCTGAGCACAGTGGACACTGGTTGGGTAAGGTGAGAAAAGCCTGGCTTATAGCTGGCCAACTTCAAGGGACCACTGAGCTTCTATGCCTGACAAGTATGGGCCCAAGAGCAGGCCCCTACTCCTTAGGGGTGGGGCCCTAGTTTGTCACACTGTCACCCCCAGGTCATTGGGGGCTATGATGTGTGGTGTTGCCATAGCAATGAAGTAGGGGCAGGGCACCCTAAGGCATGGAGCAGGACTATGGAAACCACCAAGAAGGCAGGGGGCCAAGATTCATCAGGCCCCCAGGGCCAGCCCTCTTCCAGCAGCCAGCAAACAGGGGGTGGCCTCAAAGGATCCCATGGATCATGTATAAGCTCAGGATCTCTAAACTTCAAGCAGAGATTGTCATCATTCGCCGAGGCCACCACTGATGAGGCCTGTGGCCCAGCTTCCCAGGCCCACATCCCTGAATCCATTCACCAGGTACACCAGGACCCAGCTCAGCTTAGCTCCCCGGGCAGCTATGAGCAGGCCTCCCAGGATACCCCAAGACTCTCTTCAGCTAGTGTATTTTCAAGCCACACCATGGGAGCCCAACAGCATCTGGTGATGGATGATGGGACTCTGAATCAACCGGTGTGCATGCGTAGAAACAGCACTAGTGACATGACCCAGCATGGATCCTGCTGCTCCTGGCTTCAGGTGCATCTTGGGCGGGAGGGCAAGGCTCCAGCTAAAGTCCTGGTAGGCTGGGGTAAGGGCCCCTGCAACACTGATCATATGGCACCTGTGGGCACCAGGAAGAGTCGACGGCTACCCTACTTCCCCTCAGGAAAGGATGGTGTAGCTAAAGACCAAAGTCTTCTGGCTTCAGCACAGTCTCCAGCCCAAGATCAGGAGCAGGGCAAGAGCCCATGTCCAACTCTGACTCCTGTCCTAGGTACAACTTCTCCACTGTTGCCAGCTTCTCCAACTCCAGCTCAGGCTGCTAATTCAGCTCTGCATTCAACTCCTGCAGTCGAACCTTACAACAGTACCCTTGACCACCTGACTAGTCACATTGCTGGCCTATCTCAAGACACATCACTCAAGAGATATGGCAATGAAAATTCAATCCTCTCAGCATCTGGCCAGGACAAAGTGAACGTCTACTCTAATGGAGAGCCTCCTACCACAGTACCTACTCCAAAAATGTTCTCAGACCTTGCCCAGGAGTACAAGGTTACCGGAAGGCAAGTGCTATCTGAGCAGTCTGAAAATCTGGGAGAGAAGCCTTTGGTCTATACCCCTAGCTCACCAGAGCCCCAACGTACGCCCAAGTCCCAAAGAAATAACCAGAAGATTTGCAGCTCTCAGCTAGACAAGCAACTCTCGAGTATCTGCAACAGCAATGGCTCCAAAGTGCCACTGTCTGCCTACCAAGTAACCTGCCAAAAGCAGTTACCACCTCAGTCTCCCATGGAAGCCATGCAGATCCCCACTTCCAGTGCCCCTACTTGTCAGCTCCAGGAAGGTGTGGAAGACTGTGTGCTGGTGTTTGATATGGCCACAGGCAACACCAGGATGGGGCTGCTGTGCCATGACCCTATGGGCTCCCGGGCAGTGCTGGTGGGCCTCATGCCTAGCCAACCATCTATCTGTGCCACTGAAAATATCCTGCCCACACCACCACCAGCCAGGCCCATTCTCTCCCCTACCAGCAATAATTCCAGCTTGTGGTCCACCACAGCCATGTTGTCTAGCCCTGTGCCTTCTAGCCTTTCATCTGGCAGCTACCGAGAAATAGCCCTGCTTCCCAAGGAAGCCAGACTCAATCTGAATTCACAGAACTCCCCTAATACTGAGACACCCACCAGGGTTGGGATGCTCACTGGACCTGTTTCACTGGGAAGATCCTTCCAATTTGGTGGGGCGATACCTACTCATATTCCTAATCCTGACTTACCCAAACCTAATGCCAAAGAAAATGAACTTAGTCAGACTATCTGGATGTTGGAATCCTCTAAGATGCCAAATACCTCCCAGGTCCAGACCAAGGAACTGCCATGTATGAACTCTGCTTCACCAGCCAATATCCAGGTGGTACCCACATCTCTGTTCCAGCAGGATGTAAGTCGCAACAACCAGAAAGACAACATTACCACTCACTCCAATAACGCTCAGGCTGAAGAAGTTGTGCAGGCCCTTATCACTGGTCAGGTCTTCCACAATGGGAACCTTGCTAGGCAGCTACCTGTAACTGAACAGGGCTTGCTCACTGGTCATACCCCTTCTACCAGGCAGACCACCCTTACTAGTCAGTCCCATTTCACTGCACAGACTCCTCCCTTGGGCCAGACTCCTCTTGCCAGGCAGCTGTCTTTCCCTGAGCAGACACTCTTCACCAGGAAGCCCCTCATCATCAACTATCCCACCATCTCAAGAAGGCACCTTACCTCTGAGGAGTCTGGCCAGCTCTCCATCCAGGATGGTGAGCCCTTGGGCCCAGCTACCCATGTAGGGGTACTTCAAGTTCCCCTGACCCCTGAGGAAACCTCTAGCCATATGAACAGAGACAAAGTTGGCATCGGTAGCACTCAAAACCCCAGTATACATCAGCAATCTGGCAGCTGTTTAAAGGTCCAGGAGGAACAGCTTTCTCTGATCACATTTACCACACCTGGCACTGGTTGCAAAGTCTTGCCTATTACCATGGTGGGCACTGAGAACCAGAGTAGGAGCCAGTTCAATCTGACAGGTGAGAACGTTACACATTCATCAGTGATTGCACATCTTGGGCCGCTCCGTGGGGCATGTTATGAACTGGTGTCTACCATGGATACCCTGCCAAGGCCGTCATCAGTGTTTTGCCACCACGCATTGGGCCCCTACCAGGGCATGGCAGCAGTAGTGATCGATACAGGAATGGGATTCACCAAATGTGGACTGGCTGGAGAGGACCATGTCCTCACTGTGGTACCCTCACAAGTTCAGCTGCTTCAGCACCCAGCCCAGGGCCAACCCCGGTATGCAGTTTCTGAAAACCAAGACAGCTCCTACCCGGTGCTGAACCGAGGGGTGGTCTCTGACTGGGATGCATTAGAAGTGCTGTGGCAGCACCTGTTCTACTGCAGACTAGGGGTACAGCCCGAAGAGCTAGCTGTGCTTGTGGCTGATTCACCCATCTCGCCGCGTACCAACCGAGAAAAGGTGGCTGAAATACTCTTTGAGCATTTCCATGTGCCAGCCATGCAGACAGTGCATCAGGCCCTACTGGCACTCTATGCTTATGGGCGTACCACTGGGCTGGTACTAGGCAGTGGCCATGGCACCTCCTATGTGGCACCCATCCTCACTGGGCAGTTGGCCCCATCTGATACCTACCGGCTAGATGTGGCTGGTGTTGACCTCACTGACTATCTGGCTCAGCTGCTGCTGGCAGGGGGCCACTCACCACCCAAGACAGGGCTGGTCCATCAGATTAAAGAAGCTTGCTGTTATGTGGCCATGGATATGGCAGCTGAGCTGGCCCACATCCAGGCACAGGCCCCAGTGGACTTTGTGCTCCCGGACAAGCAGGTTATCACACTGGGCTCTGAGCGCTTCTGTTGCCCAGAGGCTCTCTTCAAGCCCAATCTGCTAGGCCTCAACCAGCCAGGCCTTCCACAGCTAGCCCTGCTAAGCATCAGTCGGCTGGAGACCAAACAACAAGAGCAGCTGCTGGCCAATGTAGTACTGGACGGGGGCAGCACCCTGTTAAGTGGCTTTCCTGAGCGCCTGAAACAGGAGCTGGGCCCTGGTGCCTCTGTGTTGGGTTCTCCTCACCGTGCAGTTGCTGCCTGGCTTGGGGGCTCCATCATGGCATGCAGGGACTCCTTCAAGAGCCTATGGCTCAGCCGCCATGAGTATGAGGAGGAGGGCCCATGGGCTATCTACAAGTACCAGCTGTGAGCACATAAAGTTCTGCTTCTACTTTAAGTACTGGTGTATGTTTCAGGCAGAGGGTGGTACATGGAAAGCAGGAGTCCAGGCATATGGGCAGGGATGGAGGCATTGGCTCTCCTAAGGCATACTCTACCTCTGCACTCTGGAACTCTATGGGCCTGGGCTACCTGCCCTTTCTGGAGAGCCCCAAGACTCCTGGATAGCATTGGTTTTGGTCTGGTCTGACCTTTACTGCACCCCAAGGGCAACCACGGAGAATGGCTGCTGTGGGTTTTGCCCCGTTGCCCTGACAACAAAGTACAATTACCCTTGATTGCCAGCTAGTTGCCATGGCAGTTTCAAACATAATGTAATAACCCACACAGCCTGGAGTGAGTCATGAGGTGGGGGGTTGGGGGAGCCCCTTCCCCTAGCTCCAGAAGGAAAGACTGTTTACCCTTCTTTATCCTTGGCCCTCTTCTGGGGACTGAAGCCAGCAACATGGACAATAGCCAAGCAATTCCAAAGATAGCTGGGAGTATGGGGCATTGACCCCAAGTGAAGATCTCCTTTAGAGCTGAGCTTCTCAGGGAAGATTGCCTGGTAACAATCTGAATCTTGGCTAGGGCTCTGTGCTGGGATGGGAATGGGGATCAGGGTCTCTGTCCACCAGCCAGAGCATGACAGCATGGGAATACTGGTCATTGGCCCCTAGGACAGGGAATGAAGAAAGTAGGTAAGTCCTGAATCCTGAATGGGAGGTAGCACAACCTGGGCATTGGGAGTGAGGCTCTGGCTTGTTTTCTGGGCCCTGTGTACACTGAAGCTCTCAACTTATCTTACCCCTTGACTTTATAGCTTTGGGAGCCAGAATATACATATTCTTCTCTTCCCTAGTCTTCCAACTCTAGTAGCTCCTGCTTTCAAGGTGGCCAGGTTATAGTTCTTAGGAAGTGGGTTTGCCAAGAAGCCATGGAACATTGCTGATGCTACTGTCTCTGTTCTTGACTCAAAATCTGCCCCACACTTCAGGACTTCCTGTCATCTCTGTGGCGAAGGGGGGAAGCTAGAAGTCATGTCCCCTGACCCTGGACGACTCTAAATAGGAACAGTAGAAACAAGGCTTAGAGTTGGCCCAGTCCATGGTCTAGAAAAGCTGAGAGGATGGCATTCAGCTGGTATTACTATCCCTTGCCCAGAGGGCAGCTGGAGTTTGAAACCAAAACACTGAGGTCAGTCCTTACCTGCCTGTGCTTCCCTGGCCAGAGGCTTAGAGACACGCCATACCTTTGTGTTGCCCTCTACAAATGACAAAGATCTACCTACCCTCACACCAACCTAAGAGCAAGAAACTACCCAGATGGGAATCTTGGTAAAAGTTAATGATGTGTGGTCACTATATACCCTGTCTACACTGGGTTTAGTCCAGCCTTTTCTCATGTTCTGCTCTCACAGCCTGGTTCAGCCACAATCCAGAGACTCGTGTGAGGCAGGAAGGGGATCCACAGCTCTCAGGACTGGCTACAGCATCCACACACACGTGCCAGAAGCACGCCTGGGTGCACACAGAATTCAGACACACGTGCCCCTGGGCACCACTGCATACTCTGTGCTGTTGCCATTTCCCTTGGCAAAAGAGAACATACACGTGTGTGTGCACACACTGCCACGTGCTCTCACCCACATGCACGCATAGTGTGCACAGGACCAAGAAGAGGTGGAGTACTGCCAGCAGCAGGCAAGGCTCTTAAGGAACCACCCCTTTCCAGCTTCTCCTTGGATCCCTGCCTAGATAACCATGACCCTGAAAAAAGAAAGAAAACAGGTATATGACACTTGTAGGCTCAGCAGCCCATTGCTTAGCTACCCTGTAAAATTCAGAGACCCATTGTTTTAAAGACAGTGGGCATATGACTGGAAGGTCTGAGTGCCAAGCCATTTATTCATTTTGCAGACATTAGCTGAGCACATTGAGATGAGAAACAGCCTCTGCCCTACACATACCAGCTTTCCAGGAGACTCCTGCTCAACAATGAGGTAGATATTATGACTCAGAAACACTCAGAAGCCAGTAAGCCCAAAAGTGGCACCATCTTGATCCAGAGGAGGTAACCCAAAGCCACAGCAGAATGTGAATGGTTTCTCAATATCCTCTCTAGAGAAATGTTTTGTTTTGTTTTAGGACAGGGTCTTGCTTTGTAGTCCAGGCTGTCCTCAAACCTGTAGCAATCCTCCTGCTTCATCCTCCCAAGTGCTGGGATTACAGGCATGTGTCACACTGTGCCTAGCTTTGTGGAAGAAGGTATTGAGGGGCCTTGTTTGAGATAGTCATTTCCAATGCCAGCCTTCAGTCCCAGCTTCAGCTTCTTCACTGGCACAATCCATATCATCGGCCATGGTAGCCATGCAAGGAACCTCATACGACACAGCTGAAGATTTGGGGATGCTCTCATCCCCCATACCTAAGACAGGGCCAGAAGGCTAAGCAGAAAGGGTGGGATGGGATGAAGCCCAGCTTCTGACATGGAAAGATCTAAGCCTAAATTAGGGATGGTGCACAGAGCTTGTGAGGGGAGTGGGGACCGTGTTGAGCCCATATACCTTCCTGCTAAAGAACAGAGTCATGGCAGAGGACCTCCTTCAAATCTTCTTTCTTCCTAGCAGTTCTGAACTCCCCCCACTTGTCACACACCAGGCCTCATAGGCCTTTGGTGCCACAGTTCTCCGGTGTCACCATATTCTAGCTCAGGAAGCTGCTTGAGAGGTGTTTGAGGATGATTAGACTGAAAAGAAAGCAGACTCCACATTACATCCCAGGTGACTTTTTTTGTGGGGGGAGTACTGGAGATTGAATGCAGGGCAATACCCCTAGCTCATTTATTTTATTTTGAGACAGGGTCTAAATTGCCTAGGGGGAGACTCCTGCCTGGATCTCCTAAATAACAGGTGACTTTTATAATTTGGGCAATTTAGTGTCATTGGGAGGGGGAACACTGTGCCAGGCAATCTAGCTGGGACTTAAAGCTGGGAAAGATTTTGGTTTTGCAGGTGTTGGGGGCAGAATGGTCTGGAGCTTCATACACTCCTGTGTGTTTACTGCGCCTATATAGAGAAGCCTAGCAGCTGCCCATGTGACTTCTCCAAGTGAATCCCATCGTTTGGGTCTGCGTTGGGGAGCTGGGCAGAGTCCCAGTCAGCTCTAGAATTCAGATTTCTCCCCAGTGCTCCACTCCTGTCCCCGACACTGGGTAGAAGGAGGCCCCTAGATCTCCTGCTGCCGCTGCCGCCGGGTCGGGAGTTCGAGTGTCCAAGGGAACCGCGGAGTCTGGCCAAGACTCCCGGGCTGCACAGCCAACCTGCTAGCGTTCTTCTTGGGATGGGATTCCAGTCTCCGAAACTGCCAGAGTGGGGGCGGGCCGGCCAGGAGACCCCGCCCCCAGCCCGCCCCCGGCCCAGGGTGCGAATCCGCTGCCTGCAGGAGGCTGGCGATGCTGGGTTCGCGAGCCCGAGCGGCTGCAGCTGGCGCCGCGTCTGCCCCGCGTGCCCGGAGCGGATTCTGCTCTCGCCGCCCCCGGAGCCCTCGGCGCCCTGCTGAGCCCGCGGCAGCCTCTTCTCAGTGACCGACTGGTGCTGCAGGTGCGGAGCAGGGTGGGCTGGGGCAGCGAGGGGCGCCTTCCACCCGGATGTGGGGTCCTGGGGGTTTGGCTCCCTGGCTTGAGGTTCCGGGCGCAGAGTGCACGGGGACAGCTAGGGCTCGGGTCCCCGTGGGGTCATTATGCACGGGCTCTGCAGAGCGGGGGTGGCATGAGGGGTCGTGCTAAAGTTCCCTTGGCTCGGATGGCTCCGGGGTCGTGGGGGAAGCTTCTGCGCCTCCGAATTGTGGGAACATTAACCTTTGAAAATTGGAGGTGTCCCATGAGGGTAGGGGCCGAGGGCTGAGCGGTCCCCTCCCGGCTTCCAAAGCCGCCTCCAGCCCCTCCCCGTTGCCCCCGGGCCCCCTCCCTCCAGCTTGGCAGTCACTAATTTCCATGACAACGAAGAGTTCTTTATGGGCGACAACCCGAAGGGGGGCTGGGCGGGGCTGCTGCGGGGTTGGTGGGGGAAAGAGGCTCAAGAGCCCCTGAGGATCTGCATCTCCCCCCCCAGCCAGGTGCCAGCTTCCGAGCCTTATGAGGGCCCGCTAGGGGTCCTGGGTGCGAACCCACGTGCGCAGCGGGGGTGCGGGGCGCTCCCATTCTTGCTGGGAGGTGCGGGGCTTGGCGCTCACACGTGTGCCTCCCGCATGTGTATTGCTGTGCCAGCGGGGGCGAGCCAGCAGCACTAGGGAAGGGGGTCAGGGTGGCACCACAGTGGGGCCAGGGTCCCTGGCCGGGGTTAGGGGTGCAGTTAGAAGGGTACAGTTAGAGCATGAGTTTCTGCTTCCCCAGTGTTAATGTCTGGCAGAGACCCTGGCCTCTTAAGTCACATCCCCCCCAAGTCTACCAACTGCTTTTGTATGCGCCCAGTGGGCAAAGCCTGCTCCATTAAGTTCCTTCCTAGAAGCGGTGCCTTCTGCTCTTTGCCAGAAGCTGAGTCTGTACCAGCCTAGCACAGGATCCTTCTCCCCAGGCCCAGGATTTCAGCCCCCCAGGTACATCTTCAGAGATCAGTTATTCTCCCCCTGTCCCTCAGTGATTCCTGGACCTGTTTCTTCAACTGGCAAATTAGTCTCCACTCCCCTCAGAGCCAAGTTGGTCTCCAGGGTAGGGCAGGGGTTCCCCTTTTCCATCATTTGGTGTGGACTCCTAGGTGCCCCAGGCTGGCTTTGCTCATATTTTCTGTTCCTCTCTAGCCCCATGCCCTGGCACCTCTTGCAGGCAGGCAGGCATGCAGGCAGTTAGGCAGTTCCTTGCCCTGGGAGAGGTCTACAGAGTCTGTGGTCTCTGTTCAGGGAAACTGAGGCATGGGAGTGGAGGTTGTTATGCAGATCCTGTTTCTCGCTCCCCTGGCAAGATCTTGTCGGGTGGTTGGTGACAGGATGAAGCTAA